TATTCAAAATGAGACTAATGTTCTGTAAAGTGAGCATTACTTACTTACTTGCTTACGTTTGTTACCTCCAATGGAGCATAGGCCGCCCACCAGTTTTCTCCAACCAACTCTGTCCTGGGCTTCCCTCTCCAGTTCTGTCCAATGTTTGTTCATTCTTCTCATATCTTTCTCTATTTCTCGGCGTAATGTGTTCCTTGGCCTTCCTCTTTTCATTTTGCCTTGAGGGTTCCATGTGAGGGCTTGTCTAGTGACGCAGTTGGGTGCTTTTAGCAGTGTGTGTTCTATCCACTTCCACCGCTTCTTCCTGATTTTCTCCTCCACTGGAATCTGGTTTGTTCTCTCCCACAGTACGTTGTTGCTGATAGTGTATGGCCAACGAATACGAAGTATTTTGCGTAGACAACTGTTAATGAATACTTGTATCTTGTGGATGATGGCTTTGGTAGTTCTCCAGGTTTCCGCTCCATACAGTAGAACTGTCTTGACATTTGTATTGAAAATCCTGATTTTGGTTTTGGTTGAAAGTTGTTTGGAGTTCCAGATATTTTTCAACTGTAGAAATGCAGCCCTCGCTTTGCCAATCCGCGCCCTCACATCTGCATCCAATCCACCTTTCTCGTCGATGATGCTGCCAAGATATGTAAAGGTGTTAACATCCTCCAAGGCATCTCCATCGAGAGTGATTTGGTTGGTGCATGTTGTGTTGCATCGGAGAATTTCGCTTTTTCCTTTATGTATGTTGAGACCTGTTGCTGCGGAGACTGCTGCTACACTGGTCGTCCTCTCTTGCATTTGTTGTTACGTGTGCGGTAGAAGAGCCAGGTCATCTGCGAAGTCCAGATCTTCCAGCTGCGTCCTAACTGTCCAGTTGATACCTTGCTTCCCTCCAGATGTTGACGTCTTCATAATCCAGTCGATGACCAGGAGAAAGAGAAAGGGTGAGAGTAAGCAACCTTGCCTGACACCGGTCTTCACCTCAAAGGAGTCTGTTAGCTGTCCTTCGTGTACGATTTTGCAGTTGAATCCATCATAAGAATTCCGTATGATGTTGACTATTTTCTCAGGCACACCGTAGTGTCGAAGAAGCCTCCATAGTGTTTTCCTATCCACGCTATCGAATGCTTTCTCGTAGTCGATGAAGTTGATGTAGAGTGGTGAGTTCCATTCAATTGATTGTTCCACAATGATCCGTAATGTAATAATTTGGTGTAAAGTGAATATAAATACAAGCTTTTCTGATAAAAATATGACTCTAATCCTCAGTAAATAACTAACAGATAAAATATAACAACTTAGTTAATTTGAAGAGCATCTACAACTAAAGCATGCAGTCAATCGTAGTTTCAAATCATTCACCCCTGGTGGTTTGAATTTCAGCCATCAGACAATGAATTTAATGTATTTAATACTAAAACAATACGATGATATAATACTGTTTGAAATGGTTTGGATAACGCGAAGGCGTTTGAAGCTAATGGCACTGAGTTCGAGTCGCAAAGTTTACATAAACTCGAGAATGCAAATACCTCCCATAGAATAGTCTTAAGTAGGAATAGATTCTCATCTCGGATTTTACTGTTAGTCACATAGCTGCTGTAAAACGTATTTAGTGAAGAACTATTTCGATCACTATAAGTAATTTTAATAATGTCTTATGACAGAATGCAACTACGAAGGGGGAAACCTGGAGCATGCTACTAATCAACAACGTATATTCATAATTTTGAAGGAAATAATACATTCTAGTAGGAGTCCAACTCGTTTTATCTAATGTCACAGTTCTTACTGGTACTTAATACTTACACAACTAAATACTGAAAATTAAAAATGCATCCCACACAACACTAATACTTCATGAACTCTGGATCATACATTGATTTTAGTTTTATCTTTTCAAACTATATTTTCAATATTTCGGTTTTTTCCCATATCATTTCTTCTGTTATAATTAATTTTACTTGTTTCCTATTTATTTGGTCAGATCACTGTAGTACAGTGAACTTGGTCAACTTACATTTGTGTCAAGATTCCTTTGATGATTATAACTGACTGAATCAACTATTCAGAGTAGTTAACTCCTTTTTTTAAAAAAAATGAACAGAATATTTGTAATTTCTGCCACAGTAATTTTTTAAAGTACACTGTCATTATTTAAACACCCTAATAAATAAGAATGTGATTGCGAAAGTAAAATAATATAAGTTTCCAAAAGTTAAAAACTTTTTTTAAAATTTAATAATGTTTCGCTTCATTTCATATTAACAGTTGTGTAAATATCGTTTGAAGGTTCTTTTTTTATAGCTTCTACATCGTTTCACTCATATCTGATTTTTTTCGATATAATTTAATTTAAATTAATTAATTATTAGAAAATTCTGATGTTGATAATGAAATTTGATGATTAGTTTCCATTGTTGACATTATTATTCTATTTAGTTTCCTTGGGCTAACGGTGAAAATAACACAGAATTTTTATTGAATAGTTTCTTGAAAATTAACTACAACTGATACATGATAATTTTCAAAAATTGTATACTGATCCAAGTTTCCGAATAATTGACGAATCAATTTGAATAACTCTCCACAGGTTAATATTTTCCAGTCACTATACTTTGTTCAGCTCTTCATAAATCAGGACAACAATTGAAAATATCAGTTTAATCAAAGCATGCGGTAGTCAAGGCTTTATCTTGTCCACAATAATAGCTGTATTGATGACAGTGTAAAAAAACTGGTTCCAAGAAGAACTAGTATTATTAAGTGATTAAGAAGTAGTACATAAATTTGGAACTATCAGCACCATAATTATCTCCAATTCGATTTTATAATTGAAGTGGTGGAATGGCTAACACTTACACATTGGTATTGAAGAGGACGAATTAACTGTATATTTACACATTTGTGACTGAAGAACTTGATTATCACCCAGAAAGTTTCAACCTCATATTACCGATATCAATTTGAGTAATAGCGAATGTATGATTAACTCTCTACCACAAATTACAGCCGAATCAATTAGCCCTTACTTTGTTACGAAGCTAGACACCTGATTTTCTAAAGAATACTAAATATGCGTCAATATGAAATGGTACATTAATAGCTTTCTATACAACTTTCATTTATTATAAATCATAATTTACGCATTTATTCAGAAATTACTTATCTAGTTACATTAATCAGTACTACTGAGTGCGTCGAAAATCACAGAATTAAGTTACACTATTCTATTCTTCTTGAAGTTTTATATGATCGTTTCTTTGTATTCTTTATCCATAATTTCATGGGCCATATTTTTAATGGTGTTCACTTTTTCTCAAATACTTGATTAGAAATAATAATTTCTGAATGTATTCCTTGATATCAAACATTACGCTCATTTATGCATTTTAACGATTCAAATTGTCTTTCGTTTCTAGTCGAAACTCCACTTAATCATATTTTTACAGTTGCTTCTTTTAGCTGATAGTTGAAAGCACTAATGATGAGTGAATTAATAAAATTGATCATTCAATAAGATATTCAAATATAAAATAAATGAATTTCAGTGAAAATGAACCACACTCCCCAGTTGACTGAGTAAATGAAAATATAGTAAGGAATGTAAACTAATGAATATATATATTCAAAAAAAAAACAACTTCAACCCAGATAATGACTTACTTACTTGTCAGTTAATAAATTGCCAGTCAAGGTTAAAACTTAATTCAATGAAATGACTAATGAACACTTCTTTCTAACCAACAGTAACAGAAATACTATGTTTTTTATATCATTATAAGGTTGTGGAGATTGTTGAGTTACATTTCCAGGTTTTCTGTTTCTAATGTTGGTGTCTAACAGTGATCGATTCATCAATTCAATAATACTATTTTTATCTAGTTCCAAATTGAATATTTTATCATTTGTGTAGAACGTATTAGTTATAATAATTATAAATAGTAAACTTAACAAGCTTGTACATGTTTCTTATAAACAGAATAAACTTGAAAATGACAAGATCACCTTATCTGCACAAGATAAATTATTAATCAACTAGACGAATACATTTCAGTGGTTTTATTGTGTTAGGAAATGTTCGACTAAAGCGTTCTTTTGATTTATTGCATTGAAACATTCAATTGAGATTATAACATAAAGAAATAGCTAATGATTAATAAATATATTTTTTTGAAAGTATGATTATTTTTAATTGACTGAAAAATCTGAAACCATTTACTCTTTATACAATTCAAAATAATAATCTAGTATTCTCTACAATTAGACTAAGCGTCGTATTCCTCTAACCATGAGATGAACTATTAAAACTGTCAATTAGTATTTTTTTAAAAATAAATAGGTGATTGAATTAAATCTGTTAAAAGTTCTAACTGATTTTTTTTTAAAAAAAATGTTATTTTTCTTATAGAATATTTGTAGTTACATATTCTAAACATGAAATATTCTATTCTGCAAATATCTGAACTAATATTGTTGATTACTTACAATTTGTCTATTCAGCTTAAATAAGTCTTGAAGTCGAATGCTCATAAGAGGAGAGCATTATCTACTTCAAATTACACAGATATACTTTAATTAAGAAAAGTTTTTATTAATGATAACTTCTTAAAAACACACTACACAGGTAATAATTCGCACTAAATTATCATGTTAGTTACTTCAGTTATATGATAGTTCATTTGTCAATTTATAAACTTTAAGATTCATTTGTTATTTATGACTATGTTTTGTTTATAAATAGATTGAAAAGAAATTTGTTTAATAAATGATCTTTATCTCATTGATGACAATGAAACAAGCTATTCAAAGCATGATTGTTTGAATTTGTTTGAAGAACCAAATAATTGAGATAGTTTGAAGTTCAATTTTTAGTTTATCGGGTATGTAGTTACATTTGAAAACACATTTCTCTGTTGATAAATGATTTTAAAATTTGTTTATAGATTACTGATTGTTTATCTTTTTGTTTGTTTTATCAATTTCAACAAAAAAAAACTAACCAGGTTTGTGCACCTCGTCTTTCATGGTCATCAGCAGCATCAGTATATTTACCTGGCGGTTGTTTTGAATTTAATGAACGCTTAGAAGAACCTCAATTAAATCCTGCACCAAGTGCAATTTGTTTAAATGTTGAGGGTTCTGATAAATCGATTGATCTAAGATATTGTACATTTGGTGCATCAGTTAGTCAACATCCTAATAGGCCAAAACAATTATTTATGGGTGGTCCACATTTTTATCTTGAGAAAGGTAAGAAAAATCATAAATTGTTTCATGAAATTTAATATCATTCACATAAACTAGTTTATTCTTAAGTCGATCGATATACTGTGGTTGCAATTTTAAAAAAGTGGGTGCCTTGTAATAATAAGAATAACACATGGTGGTTAATATGTGACAAAGTCTACTCGTGAAACCATTTCTCAGCTGTTAGCGGAATACAATCTACAAAAGAGAACAATCAACTTATTGACAATACACATATTGAACAGTTCAAGGTAGTATGTAGTTGTAAATAATATTGATAAAATAGCGGATGACTATGAGTTACTTGTCAATTGAAACATGCATGATAAAAGTTGACTACAAAAAGTCACAAAAAGGTATTGATAAACACTGCCGATGGTTCTATTACTAGAGAGGCTCAGAGAGCATTTGAACCGATCGAAAAATTGTTAGACAACGAACATATGACTCTCGAATCGCCCATCGTCGGTGAACCCTTTGCAGTCGCCACAGACGCCGGTGATCATGGAGTAGGGGCGATTCTTCGGCAAAACAATAGGGTTATGGAATACGCCAACCGTGTATTAACGCCTGCCCAACGGAAATCCTCAACTATCGAAAAAGAATTCTTGGCGATCGTTTCGGCGCTACATAAATGGTGACCTTATTTTTAAGTCAACGATTACACATTGAGACTGATCACAAACTACTACAATGAGTACAAACAGCAAAAGACCCCGGGGAAAATTATCAAGATGGATATTGTGACTTCTGGAATGTGATTCTATGATTGGTCATGTACCAGGAAAGGAAAATGAGGTCACAGACTATCTATTATAATGAAGGAACGACAGTGATATACCCGGTTTAGTCTTTGCAGTCAACAGATTACATTCAGATCTAAGAACACTTGTTCATTTATCAGGAATCCTATCCGATGGTTAACTCAGTGAGACGAGCGCTAACTGGAGAAATTGAAAATAGTATAACGAGGTTAGACAAAGATACAGCCACACTCCTAAACCAGAAAGACAGATTAAGACTGAACGCTGTAGGAATGCTGACTTGGAGACAGTCGTTGTATGAAATGATCCGTGAATGCGATCAACTAGCGCATACAGATGTCGTAAGAACAACCAATCTTCTACGAGACTGAAGGAAGATATGATGATGTTTGTGCTCGCCTGCCATCAGAGCAAGTTGACAAAAGACTGATGTAAACGCTTGCCTTTACAGCCCATTCCCATGACAATAGTTAGAAATATATGGTTAACAGACATCATAAGGACATTCCTGCAGGCATTGAACGGTAATCAAGACATGTTCCGTGCCGTGTGAATACAACAATGATTCTGAATCAGTTCTGGAGGACGGTAACTGAGAGAGTGGTGCAGGATATAGTGGTAGACTACGGAATCCTGAAAATGATAGTGACCAGTCAAGGTCCATATTTTGAACACTTCAAGTTTACATCTCGCTTAGATCAGTTGGCCATCAAGAGAATTTGAGTAACCCCATACTGTCCACAGACCACTGGGTTAAAATAACGTGATAATCGTACACTTAAGGAATGTCTGGCAACTAATGGAGGTAACTGAAAAACTTAATCACCAACTGTATTACTAGCTCTTTGTGTCTTGATTCAAGGAACAACAAGAAGTTCATCTTTCCAGTTGATGTACGACAGAAGATCATGTTTGCCAGCACACAATAATACAAGGGCTGAAGCACAGAAATGGGATCGTACCCATCAGAAGATCGAGTGAGAACAAGCAATGATAAACATATGATAGAAACAAAAAGTTAGTGTGAAAAGATCCAGATAGGTTAAAAGGAAACGGGAGAAGTCCATATCAGTATCAGTAGAAGGTCAGGTCAAATGTAAAGAACAAAAGCAGATAGCAGAAGGTGGATTTGGTTAAAGGAAATCGCTCCTCAAGTGGGAATGACCATACGTGGTATCGCGACACGCAGACCGATCAATACTATCAAGAAAAGTAACAAAGAGAAATGCGTGGACGCTAGCCAGCTTCAAAAATATATTCTGTGGACTGACGGATCAAGAACAACGAAACACTAAACGACTATAGGATTACGGAGATTACTCCTGCACGCTGGACAGTTTATTGGGGGATAGATGCTATTCAAAAAGCAAAATATAAGTAGTATGTAGCGTAGTGTTACCTAAAACGTGCTACTAGAGAGAAGAATGAAAGGAGATCAAAGTACTTATCATGATCAATGTATTTTGAAGACTAGAGGACGTATAAGAGAAGACAGTCAATAATTTGCCTATTTTACAAATGGAAAACCCAAGACAAGGTGTAGATGTTTAGGTAGTAAATGATGTCTTCTTCAAAAGTGCCTCATTATACACCCCATTTGTAATGTCGAAAAATATTCACTTTTACTCCTTCAAAATGTATACTTTTTCTTCTGTCAGAACCACATTATTACCCAGTCAGTTCATATATCCTTTAGACCTCCTTTATTTTCCTTCTCTATCTATTATGCTATATACTTTTTATTGCATTTCCTGCCCAAGATCATTTACCACCAATACACGAATATATATTTTATCACATAATGAAAAGTATTTTCTTTGCAACATAAAATTCTCTCACAAACAGTGTAACTTAATGATTGAAGTAGTTCTTTATACCACTTCAATAGCTCTCTAATTATCATTCTTTAAATATCTGATTTCAGTAGCATTAAGCTTCAGTTATAGCAACATATTTTCCTCGTAACACAAACTAATGATCAAATGTCATTATCATACTTATATGAATATTTGTTTACTGTTTTTTTGTGTTCATACTTTATATTTAAAGTAGTATACATGGTAAAATGTACAATTAATTTTGTAATGAATAATAAAACATTATCAAACAAAATTTATGGGCCAAATTCTCTGTAACAACATCTATTCAGTAACAATAATCACCTGTCGAAGTGAATGAAATAATTACTCATGTAAATATAGAATTATTCATCAACTACACTGTTGGTTGGCTACTTGATTAGAGTATTAAACACAAACGTCTACACCACTGCTTGTTAATTCATGGTTCTTGTTATTTTTATCGTTTTTTAATAATCTAGATTATACGTAGCTAACAAAAATTATAAAATACAGAATATTTGTTCAAACGACGTAGACTTTGAACTGATCTAAACTAGTTAGTTGTTCACAGAAATGAATTTTGTAAAAAAAAAGTAGATACTATTTCAAATTAAGTTTACCTGCAAGTTAGTATCTAATAAAGTTTATATTATATTTGTAGGTATTGAATATCAATAAGGTCATTAGCTATTTATTGATTCTCTAACAAGATTAAATATCCTTACAGAAACATAACTCTTTTTCGTTGGTGCTGTCAATGTTCCTCTGAAAAGAAACCTCTTTGATAATAGAATTGAAAAGTTTTCTGTGTATTCTTTTCTCAATATACATAAACTTTGTATATACCTACTTGTTTTATAATTATAGGTGTTGGAGCTGCAGTGAATATGAATACTTTTGAACGAGTAATTACATCCATTGAAGCTATTCCTTCTAATACACTACTTGGTAAGTCATGAATTGTAACTATTTATTGATAAATGTATATTAAATATTATCTATGGGAATATAAGTAAAATTATATGAAAATAAAGAACATCATTTTTTAAAATTTGTCTTTCATTCTTCCTACGGAATATAATATTAATAATAGAAGCAGATATTCTTAACATCTAACAATACCTTCAATCACCTTAATTTTAAAGTTATGACCGACACTGTGTTCTCAAATGTACCATCTTTACTCAATTGTTTTTCTTGTTCTTATAAAAGTATATGATCTTGTACACTAATATTTCGATCAATTATAACAACGTAATTCTAGAGAGATTGAGTATTTGGTGTTCAAACATTACATTCAACCAATGAATCGCAGATTTGAACACGATTCTAACAATTTCATTCAGGTCACTTGAGCTGTATCATTATATCTCTCATGCAGATTTTGTTGTTACGTTTTAGTTCTTTCTTTAAAGAATGCATATTGCATCAATAACATTTGCCAGTACCTGTCGGGTTGTCACCATTTTTGAATTGTTAACTTTGTCAGGTGTTTAAGGGTCATCAAGTGTTACTACAAAAACCGAGTTGTTTTTATTCAATTTTTGGCTACTGTGTGCAATATCAAGTCATATGGAAAGTCCTATCATCTTTATTATTAATGTAGCATTCGTTTTGTGCCGTAGATATTTGATCTACAGGAGTTTCTACTTGTTATGTCATATTAGAAGAATACCTAATCGTTTGTAAACAGAGTTCACTGCCTACCAATCGGCAGCATTAAATGTCTAGATTCAACAGCAGTAGAAGAATTAAGCATGTGAGATCGTACTTTATGAAATAATTACAGCTAATAGACATTTGTACTTGTAAAATTTCATTCAAAACATTCTATTTATTCATTCAATTCTCAACAATATTTCAGACTTTGAAATTCAATAACTTAGTAAATCGTTAGGGGTACTTCTAGACATTGATAACCATTGTTTTTTTCCAACATTTATCAAGATCAGTGGTTAGTTGAAACTTATACCAGCAGAAAATATACAAAACTTTAACAATTGCATTACTGTTATTCTTTTGTTTCTACTTAGCTTGATGTTGTTTGTGGCTTATCCAAAACGGTTTCTATGTTCCCTAAGTGTCTCATACTTAAAAATTTAGGTCATTTATCCTTTTGTTTTGTAGATATGACCACGTTTTACAGTGTAATTTATATTGATCGGTTTATCTCAATTAATAAATTTTACTACATCTGAATTTTACATCCACCATATTAGGATGCAGTAATGTTCATCACACACAGTTGCAGATGATTTCAACCACTTTGAAATGAAATTTTTGACTGAGCGTATTTTAATATAAAATTGAACCCACTAAATTTACGAAACAATGACCAAAGTACTAGGTGTGATATATTCAACGAACAGTGAAAATCTTTCTGACTTGAGTGCCATCAATTTTGTCCAGAACCATTCACGACAGAACCGAAAGAATTACGACCCAGCAGAACTGTAATTTTTCAAATAATTTGTTGTATGTATACGTTTACCTGAATGTTGATTATCATACTAAAACTCGAACTTGGTAACTTTAGCTTCAAACACCAACACATTTGTCGGCTAAACTGTTAAATGCAGAAACCCACTAGCCTGTGTAACAAGTATGAAGTTTAATTGTATGGGTTTGAGCTGGCTTCATGACTGTATGAGCATCAAAATTTGAGTTCAGTCACATCTAGCCAACGAATTTCAAATAGAATGAAACACGAATAATGGTTTCACTGTGAATCACTTTACAACCTTAATAAAAATTTGTTTTTTTCTTAATTTATTGATTTTCGATAACTCACATTCACAGTAGACTACATGGAATCAAAATGTGAATTCATACGGTTCGATGTATCTTTAAACTACTTGGTGAAAATTCAGTAGTTTACACTTGCACCTTTAGTTAATTCACAATGTAATGCGATATTTCTCCCACTAAATTCATTTCATGACGAAAATTCGAAACAGAAGAGTTATGCTATGAGGTCTTCCTATTAACTAATTCTCAAAAAAACCATCAACTTAGTATTGTTATGATTATAATTATTACTATAGATATATTTTAAACTTCATGTCAACATTTAATACTTCTGTATCTTACAAGGGTGAAGGTGAGCTTGTTGACTTTTCAAATTGTTGTTCATTCAAATGATCGGAAACATAAGTGAATATATAAAAGTTAATGTTTAATTATGATTTAAAGATGTAGAGAATATCTTTGATCATCTAGTACAATTGTAAAATAGGCTAAAATGTAAACTTACACTGACTTTATGACAGGCGTTAGGAATATAAATATCAACATTTTTTGATATTTAGTTTGAACCCGATAATATTTGTTTTATATAATACCTTCTTGAGAACAATGAACCACATAGAAATTGAAATTAAACATTCACATAATTTTAGGTGAATTATTTTAATCATAGTTTCTTTTTTGTGATTAAACTATTCAGTATTTTGTAAAAACTTGTGTGTTTGAAAAAGTCAACTACGCATTTATCATTTGTTTTAAGCAAACTAACTTAAGATGAATGAATGAAATATCACTTAAACAAAAGTGTACAACATTGAAAGCTGATTTTAAGAATAGCTACAAGGATAATATTAGCTACTATGGAATCACCACCTTGATAAATAAATGCACAAAGGTGTGACCTAATCAGATAAACTCATCTACGAATGTGCAAGCATCATCGTACATCATTGTACACATAATATTTAAATTTTTTTAACGTTTGGATATAAGGAATTACATAATGTCTAAAAGATTATCATTGTAAAAATTTTACTTCATGTTATGAAATATAATGTCAATCTAAGAAAATTCAGCTACATTACTTTCATATCGATCTGAACATGTGTTCTGAGTAAGTATATTCAGTGAATAAAATAACTTGGAACTTTCCTTCATATCTTTGTTATATATATATATATATATATATATATATATATATATATGTTTATTGTTTATGCACTTTGAATTGTTTGTCTTTGAAAGACAATAAAAATTATCTGTTTATTGCTGTATGTGCAACTTCTATAAAATATTGGAATTTAAAAAAAAAAACTATTTCAATAATCTATCAGTAGTGTTTTAAATTTTGTTTTCAATTCATTAACCTTGATGTGTTTATATTTATACTGTCGCCTGACTAAATTTCACATGAGTGTTTATGGTTGTAATACTATTTTTTCATCCACAATTTTCAAATGCTTTTTTTTATCTAAAAAAAAATTATTAGTCAAGTAGTGAATCATCATTTAGAGATATTTAACACTTAGGCTTACTTGTAGATGAATTAAGTATTCAGTCTTAGATTTATGTACACCATACATCAAGTGTACTTCATCAATGATTAAGTAAATGAGATAGTATAAAGTGTTAATAATCAGTTTTTGGTCAAATGTTATCTTCTTTGATTATTTATGTTGGTATGAGGGCAATGTTTGACAGGCTAAAATACAATGATTTTGCATTTTTCAACGATAAGAATGATTTTTCATACCATTGTTTATAACCACCTACTATTAATTGTTCATAAATAGTTGACTAATTTTTTTAAAAAGACAATAAACATTAATATTTTTGTAAATATTTCTATCTATATTGTGTTATTTGTCATTAGAATGAGCTATAGCTTCTATGAGGATTTACTTGTACCATACTATTTCGCCAACCAACATGAAATATTACTCCATAGTTTATTCCCGATCGCTTCTAATCACCTTAGTATTTCTATTGGTTTTCGATCATTGAGTAGTATAATTAAACTATAAAATCCTATAGAATTTTATATTTTGGCAAATAAGCTAACCGTAAACTGTCGTACTTTCCTTGAAGGAGTTTTGATGAGTTTAGTTTGCTTTTTAAGTTGTATTCATCACGAAATGATTTACTATGGCTTACCACTGAAAATCAGGGAATACCATACAGCTGTTTCTATATTGTGTTGGCCTCTTCAAAAGCGCACACTCATAACTCCTCTACCAGTTATCGAACTTCGAAATTTAAGGTCTCGCAAAGAATTTTTCAGCTATTAGAAACGCTGAGTGAGCATTCATTGGTATAATTTTAACCCAGATAATTTCTAATTTAGTCCAACGAACATTCACTTCTATTTATGACAACTATTTCAATAAGATTTAAGTTTTAAATTAGTTTCAAGCTATATATATATATATATATACTGGTCTATTCATCACTCAAACACAATGTAAAAGTCTACACAAACAAACGACGGTTACAACTGACTGTCTTCTTTCCAGTTAACTGTTGTTCGTATAGTCGAAAAAAGGGGATTCGCTTGATACAATGGATTAGTGATTTTAAAACTATGCAAACTTTTTCAAAGATTAAGAGTTGAAGTTTATAATTATTTAAAGAAAAATAATTTACAAACTGTTCATTAGTAGACATTATATAGAGATGATTTTAAGTTTTCGTATAAAATACACGTCAACATGAGTACTGATCGGATGAATACTTCCATTTTATCGAATATATTTCAAGTACATAAATAAAAGCGTCAAATTAATAAAAAATGGTTTAAAGTAATTGAACATTGAATTTGAAACACTACAATAAAAGTTATTGATGCTAGTAAATTTTCCTTTTTTCCATTTCCTAAAAAGATAACACATAATTAATTGTAAAATATGCCTGGTGGGGTTAGCAAATTTTTAAAAAAAATTCACAACAATGATTGATTGATGATTTCAATGTGTAAAAACACTAATCTCCATAAATCTAGTTGAAAAAATTCACCAGTGCCAATATATGTTCAACTTCCATTCTAAATGTACTCAGTTTATTTTCCGTAATCTACCTTTTTTGAATAAGTATGATCTTAAACCAGATTTCTAATTTGATCATTCTTCGATTGAGAAAAAAACGGGTATTTAATAAATTGATGTTTTTCTGCATTTGTCAAAAATGCAATTGAATTAATTAGTTGTTTTAAAGTACTCACTTTTGTATAATATGAATGTATTTATCAAAGAGAGGGATAATGGTCAAACATGTTAAGCTTCCATAAACATATTCTCTGATTATGAGAGCAATGATGAATGAATGCCTTTGTTTACCGATGCATTTCTATATTCTACTAGGCATGATGTAACTGCATTCTTTACCTAAATATCAATGTTTACAAAAAAAAAGAAATAACTTTAATATATATTCACATCAAGTAGTTGGCATCCAATGTAATAATCTCGTCTTATTTTTTTTGTTTTTTTTTCATATATAAAGGTTCATCTGTTGACACTACCGATCGATTATATGCGCCATTACCCGGATTAAATTCATATGAATTGAATGTAGCCTATGGTGGTCCAGGTGTACCAAGTAGTGTTGTAAATGGTTTCAATGATGATACAAAATTTGGCACTGGAATTGTATTAATATTTCCAAGTAATAAACAAAATGGTAGAAATAATATTAAACCATTAATGAGAATAGAAGGACAAAGTTTTGGAAGTCGTTTCGGTCATTCACTTATATTTCTCGATATTAATGGAGATCAGTAAGTAAATTTTCTAAAACATTTATATAATATAGATTAATTTTCTAATAAAACCAATTCAATTATTTTACGAATAAGAGTTAACTGGAAAACCATTAAAAATTAAAGAATATCGGATTACACTAAAGTACCATCAGACAAACTAACATAAACTTAAATTTAGAGTCTTCATGATATTCCAAATACGATAAACTGACATCATCCACATAAATATTAATCACTGTGAAACAGTTTTCACTTTAATCTATTCTATATTACTAACAGTGTAAATAACTACTAAACTCCATGGATAGCTTTCTCCAAAAGTCATTGAGAGATCAATCAATCTACAAGCTTTTCAAAATGATTGGGAAAGTAAAAACTACTGAATTGAATAATAGATTTCATAATAAATTAGTATAATCGATCCTCATGTATAACACCAGTTTTACTATGTAATGGTTTCGATTCAGATGCATCCAATTGACAATAATGCAAAACGCGCTTCCTAGATTTCACTTCTGTTTACATTCCATATTTCCTAAATTAACCTTATTCGTTATGTTAATGCTGGAAACATTTTCACTATAACAATATATATATGCTAAAAAGCCAACTGCATTGCTTGATCAGTACTTACTGTTGAAATTTAACATTCTATTTGCTATTTATTGACTTGTTATCTTGATGATATTTTATTCTTTCTTTTATGTATATGCTACATATAAAATAATAATTTTAAAAGTATACTTGAGGTCATTCAACGAAATAAAGTAAAATGTAGAATTCAGTGTATACTTAAATCAAAGTATATAAGACTGTTTTTTGAAATCTATTATTTAAAAAATGTACATATTGATGTAAATGAATTGAATATACTACTAAACTTAAAAATTATTTATATATAAAATTAAAGGTACACATGTTCATTATATGCTTCAATTAATAATATTATTTAAATGAATGGTATTTAAATTTCAAAAGATTTTTAATACCATGTATATACTGTGATTTATAAAATTAAGCTTACAAATTATGATTACAAACTAAGTGAACTTGTAAATGATCATTCAACAATGCTAATCATTCCAATATGAACTGGATAAAAATTTTGAAGAATACAAGAAATTAGAAAAATATTGAATAGAAATAAATGTTGATCTCTTTAAGATTAAACTATTTTGTATTGTAGTTTCATTTATCTAATTAATTAAGTGAATCCGTGAATTACATTGTAAGATGAATGGGTTTAAATCTCACAAGAAGCATCAATTCCCCAAAGGTTTCAAGTATGGCTATCATGAAACCTAGATTAAGAGTTTCTTATCGATAGTCTTTCGTTACTTAACGACCCGATCTCCTGTCACTTAAACTGTTGGTCACATTACACACTGATAAACAGTATTATAACAACATTAAAGAACTAGAAAAATTTGGCATTGCACACTCCATTCTGTGATCAATCCTTAGTAAATATCTCAATCTTATAAGAGGTCATCAATGAACTCAATAGCTCGTCAATAACGTTTCAGATTATGAAATCTGTTGACTTTGAGGTCCAATACTATGAGAAGTAGCAGCTTCCTCAACATCTCAAGTTTACTTCATTGATGAATGTTAACTAGCACTAAACCTAAGTCCAGGCTTCCTCATCAACTACTTTCAACTACCGAACGTGCAAATAACTTTGTGGGAAATGATCACATCTAAGTATAAACACTTTCTAAAACTTCATGATACATAATTGAATAACCAGAATAGAATCTAATGGTTATCACTTCTGTCATTTGCCAATGAAATAACAGAATTTAAAGTTGTTAACCTATCATATATTCCAAATTTAATACAACAAAATTGTACATTGAACAGATAATTTAATTTTTCAATTGTTTATTTACAAGATTTTAAAATAAATTTAATTGAATACACCTGTTACAAAGATAGACTTTCAGAATAATTTATTCGTCTTCAATATAATTAATAAATATAAAATGATGATGATGATGACTCGCTCAAATATATCTGTTGTTTAATTTTTCTTAGCTAATATTCGAATCAGTCTCATTTATTCTTTTTCTCTATCGTTATACTTTATCTGTATTTTAGCCAATTATTGAAATTTAAATGTATACAATTAATAGGAATGAATTTGAATTTGAATTTCGCATTTGTTTTAACTCACTAATTACCTCTATTTAAACCGTATTTTCATGCTACATCATTGTGGGAATAATTTATAACTCATAGCATTTTTGTGTACACCAAACATCAAACGAAAATATCGTAGTGATTTTGTAGTTTACAGTAGAATATGAGACTTTTTTTTACAATGAATTAGATTTAAATTAAGGACAGTATGGATGATCCACAAGAACTCATTTTGAATCTGTATTGTCGGATTAAAAAAAAGTGTAATACAAAACCAGAACAGATTGAAAGTCATTATTATTAAATCATAGACAAATCCGAATCTTTACAAATAAAATGAATGTAAAAAGGAGGAATTTTTCACCGTAACTGATTATGGATATTGTTATATCGGTAATTTTATATCGTAGACTAATATTAGTTGAATAGAACTTAAGAGGTGGTCTTAACAAACTAATTTCCATATTCTTTGTTCATTTAGTTTTATTTTTTCCCATCCACCTATTTCATCAAATGTACTCCCCATTATCCAATTATTTGATGAACACTTCTTATTACCTTATTCACTTATTTTAATTAATGTGATTTCAGTGTCGAATTTTCCAAGTCGTTCGACCTACCATGATGAAACATTGATTCAAACTATAAAAATTCATATTGCCCATAGAATAAAAAAATCACTTGATTATTTATTGAACAAATGAACTATTTGTAAAATAACATTTTAGTTAATAAAAATATTTAATGTTATTTGATATCAATTGTGTATTTTGAAAAAAAATGTTGATATCATTATCATAAATATTCATGTGAAACTTATAGACACTAATGGAATAATCAATAATAGTTTTGTTTTTAATACAAATCAGTAATTATTAACATCACTAACATTCACTATTTAAATTATTTTAACTTATAAACTTAAACTTGAAAACGGTCATATGTTCAATTAACATTTATGCATAAACACTAAATGACTGCAACATTTCCAAGCTATCAGTTTCCCCAATTGAAGTATATTTTTATATGTAATCATACATGATACAATTTATTAAGTCAACGAAGTTAGGAATATACGCGAAAGTCAATTGATTATAAATATGAATTTAACTGACAAAATTAACTGAGTTAATTTCAGCATTTCATTAAATGTCTAGAGTGTTTTTTTTTTAAAGTATTTTCCATATTTGATCACACTACATATGTTAAACCAAATACCGATCTTGACAAAACAGTGAGAAAACTGCGTGGATCTGAATAAAAGTGTTTATACCTCTTTACCAATTTAAAAGCAAATAAAATAGAATAATTTAACGACAGAAACTGAAAGAAACCACTAAGAAAACCTATCGTAGTTGCTAAACTAGACAGTGACTGAAAGGACTGAAAGTGCATGATTTCATATAGGCCTAGACATTACACGAACGATTACATCACATCCTATTGTATTTATCAGTCTACATATTTGTGTCGACACACATGCATGGGAAGGAGTAATAAGATAATGAATTCAAGGGTAATGGAACATCTGTCTGAACGGCTCTTCTAAATCAGTTGGTGTCAAGTGGTCCAAAGGCTGAAGACAATGTTCATCGATAGTAAATCTTAATGTATAGATTTGTGCATGGAATTGACATCAATAAGTCTTTTAAAACATAGTATGGGAATCGTTAAAGACAAATTCTTAGCTTTATAGAAGCCTTGGTTATTCACAAATTCAAATCCTCTTATTTGTACAAAAATAATTATTCGTAATCTTGAGTATGTCCTGATTAATCTTTAAGCCACTTTACGGACTAGAGTAATGTGACGATTTTCTATTCCTTCCGTACTAAGTCAATTATCTCTCGCCTTTATTTACAATTATTAGTGTTCATATGAACTTTTATTTAACTGATCTTTATTGATTATCTTATAAAATACCCTGTTAAGAATATGTGTAACCAGATTGTCCAAAATGTATAATTCAAATACGTTACACTTTTCGGAGTAACTCCGTCTCCGCATTATTCGATCAAAATTTATAAAAGGGATCAATTGCTTCAAACACAGATCACCATGAAGAACAATGTTAGTGTGACTTGCTTCATGTTATCGGGAAATACAATTAAATGTATACTTGCTGATAGTCTTCTAGCAGCATAAGCTATCTCTCTCATTCATTTCTATTACGAACTCTTTGGGAGTGATTTTGTAGTTAATGTGAAATAATTTATTATCTGGTGTTATTCCTGATCTCTATTTTTGTCATGAATTAGGTATCTGATAAGACGTAATCTAATTTTCTTTGTAGTGTACCGTTCAAGTATCCGATCTAACGGTAGTACAAAGTCGGTCACACAAATCAGTCTCATTTTCGTAATATTGTAGTTTACTGCAGAAAGAAAAATATGCATAATATTGTTTAAAACATCTTTGAAAGTCCTTAGTTTACATCTTCACCTACCTAGTTGTTTACCGACTACTAACTGTTTTGTTTTAGAATCGCATATATAGACAAGTTCCATAAATTTTATTCACCGGAAACTATTCAACTAGTGAATAGATATTCTGAAGTACGCTCTTCAGAAAAGACTGGAAATAGCTGAGTTCACGTACTGATTGTTCAGTTTATGTATACTTACAATAAGCTTTATTCGTATAAATAATATCGTAATATTTTTTGTGTTAACTTGCTTATTAACAATCCAAATAATTTTGTCCCTAATTAATAAAAAAGTTACAAGTTAAAAGTTATTAACCCAATTCACTAACTTATTTTTATCAGTTGGGATGATTTAATTGTCGGTGCACCTTATCAATATTTCAATGCTACTGTCGGTGGACAAAGAAGACATGGAGCAGTATTTATATTTCTCAATAGACAAACATATTTTTATACACCAGTGGATGAAGTTAGTGGTGTGGAATTATTTAGTTATGATTATCCGGAAACTTTTCAAATGATTACACCTCCATCTCATAATTGTGGTAATTCACATATTTCTGGATTCGGAGCTACAATTACAAAACTCGGTGATATCAATCATGATGGTTATCAAGGTAGTGTTATTGATTTTTTTAAAAATATCAGTTTCATACAAAAGTTTTCTTTTAATTTAGCAATCTAGGAATACTTCATTACAGTTAGAAGTAGAATTCATTGTGTGCTTATGATCTCTACAGATTGTTACCATTTAATTTGCTAAGGACTTTAGAGGAAATTACGTGTCTAGTGATGATGTTCACCATAGGAACGTTGTCCTGAATGTAAATAACGATCACAGAGGAGATTATAACCATTCAATGTGGTCTGGTGTATCTTTTCCAATTCTGCATACTCGGCAATGACCATTATTTGAGTGTTAGTGAATTGTTCAAAATACTCTGCTTTCAACCTATTCAGTTTCACATTTGTATTTCTCAACAACTACATCTGTTTGAACATTTAGCTATATTATTAACCGTTATTTAAGTAGAATAGTCGTGGACCAAATAAATAAGTATCACCTTGAAAAATAAAATTTAAAGAATGAAACACTCCCCAGCTAATCTAAAAAAAGTGAATAAAGTCAAAATAGAGTTTCTGTATTCATAAGCCTTCCTTTTTTTTTAAAGAAGTTTAACACATGCAAAAGATGTTATTATCAAAGTATAAATCCACATTGAAAGCAACAGGGTAAAAAAACTTTGGATGGGATTAATACTCCTTCAGAAATATGAACCAGTGTCATACCAAGCTATAGTCGAATATTCATTGTCAGTGAAATTCAAGTACTAAGGTTCCTAGTGAATAATGATTCTATGCACACTGCATGAAATAGATTGATTGTTACATCATTAACTTATTTCGCCTGAACTTGGGGCCAAATAATGTAGCATCGATTAGTATTATCATTTTTATTATTTAGTTTCCACTTAGCATTTCGAAATTAAATAAATCCTAATAAACTTAATCCTTAACCTTCGTTTTACTACCTTTTTTTCCTGAATTATTATTTAATTAACTTAATTTCTCACTGGTGATGGTAAATAACAGCTGGATACTACTACATAACCTCCTATGACCTTGAACTATCATGACTTGTTATCAAAATCGTTTTAATAAAAAGTAGGAAATACGATAAAAACAACAGCATATAGTTGTTAAAAGTGGATTTGATAGTGAATTAATACAGTAAATTGTTAAGAAATGCGTTAGAACCTTACTCCACTATCCATTCATACACATAAAAAAAATTTATCATTGGTGGAACTCATTTACGAACAACAGTTGTCAGTAATCAGATTTGATTTACATTGTTCAAAAGCTAGTTTCACTAGTCGATTGCCAAAATCGATCAAGCAGGGTTCAGGCCTTTGATTCATGGTTCAATGTTGAGTCTTTTAACCACTTAATTGTCACTTTGATGCTGATTGGCTAGAGGTAGTAACCAAAAAATCTAGAGCTGGAATTCCCTACCAATTATCAACGAAATATACACTCATTTTCGCAAGATGTGGGGTTTGAACTCACGTTACTGAGCTTCATAATCTAAGAAGTTACGAATGCGTTATTCGGGCAACGATTGATATCAGACGGAACTGAGATACCGACAGCAATTGCAAGCAAAACTCTTTAGCGAACACCGACTAAAAGAAAACCTAATACCAACCACTTAGTATCAAAACCGAGTGTACATGACGTGTAGTCACTCAGACTAGTGACCACACTGGAAGTTTACTGACAGAATATATTCGGTCTTAAGAACTGTACAAATATCGCATCGGTCACCTCTTAAGGATTATTCAGCATGAATCATTTCTCCTTATATTAAATAATAACGGATGAATACTTTTTTTAGCAACAAAAAGACTATCCTTCAGATAAAAATACCAACAGGAACCTATTATCACTTAGTTTTTTCTTGATTACTTCATATTTCATTGAAACGAATGAAGGCGGGATAGAGAAGAAAATTTTCTCTTCAATCTTATCATTTTCTGAAGCTGTACAGTCGTATTTATAGATAATCTTCCATGCATTAGTCTTTAGTAAGAAATAAATTTACAGAATTATCAATAAGTCAGACTTTTTCAAGTGAATGACAATGAAAATCAAGTGATGTTGTGTAATACAGTCAAGATTATTACTGTAACATCTTTAACACTTTTTCGATGAATCAAAAGATTTATTTAGTACTTCATGCTTATTGATTTAAAAGATTATCAAACTTAATCAGATGTAAGAGAGAGTGTTATACGTGCCTCATTTTTATTCCTTGAATGACACTATACCACTGAGTTGACACGCATTAACAATGTTTAGAGTTCACATCTACACTTATCAGTCATACTGTATACATTTATTCATCCAGTAATCGCTTCTAACAACTTTTTTTCAGAGTAATTGTTTCATTCATAAAAGTTAGATTACAGTGAGATAATTTAGATAAAAAATCAGTTAAAACTAAGTATGTAACTTTAAGTAAACAAAGTACCTATTGAAGTTTCTGAATACACAATTAGATAAAATTAAATATCGCATTTTTATGTGCATCTTACTTTAGACCACCAGTAAGAATATTTACCATGAGTTCATGGATATTAGTTATGTCTTTTCTTTGAAGTTATCACCCTTCACAGTATGTGTCAATATTTTTGAATTGCTTTTTCCGCTTATCTATACATATATTTTCTATGTACACATATTTATATATGTATGTATAGGTATTCGCTTATGTACTAAAGCCTTGTTTATACATTTCTCCATATTGTGCTACAATAACAATAAACAGTTCATCACTTTAAGAAAAAAAAAAAGTTTTTTCTTTATCAATTCATAAAATTTCAAAGAAAAACAACAATTTTTCACTCTTTTTATTGTAGAAACAATTTTGTTGTTGATTTTTCGTCTTTGTTTGTTGTTTTTTTTTTTGAATACTTAACCGATTATGAAATTTAGACTTTGCTGTCGGTGCTCCTTATGAAGACAACGGTGGTGCAGTTTATATATATCATGGAAGTAAATCTGGAAAAATTCGAAAACCAACACAGGTATGGCTGTATGATAATTTTTTAAATTTCCAAATGTTTCGACTATTCTTAAATTGAACTTCGATCTGTTTTTATTACCTAATACGCATTCTGTTCTGGCTATCTCAGTGTAGTCAATAAGAGAATGACTGTGGCCTAGCAGTGAAGTCCAAGATATGCTCTTCATTTTATTTGAAACTCATCAGTTGGATGTACATACATCTTAGTGTTCATGAAAAAAATGATTCTATCAAGGTGATCCACATGTATCAACTAAAAAATGATCAAAATTCAGTCAGGAATATCAACAATAAGATAATTCAAAATTTTACACATTAAATTCATTGTTTTCATCTTATACAAAATAAAATAATACCAAATTTAAAAACAAATTCTTGTGTTTATAGAAAAAAAACCCAATTAAAGTTGTGTGGTGTGATTTATTTCATCACTGCCAAACTTTTACTTATTATGTAAAAAAAACTTTTATTATTGCAAAATGTTTACAACCTTTTAATAATGTTGTCTCGAGTGATAATAATGCTAACTGTAATTTTCATAAGTGTAATCATAATTGAATGATAATTTTTTTCATTATCATGAACTGACATCAATTGGGAAACCAAATGAAATGAGCCAGTTCGTCTAAATATAAGACTACCTGGTAATGTTCAATCATATTCGAACCCGAATGTATCCTACTAAAAAGTCATAGATAACAAGATTCGAACATGTTCGGTGCAAGGTGTTTACTAGCCGACCGTAATTATGAGTTGTAACAAGATAATTTAAAACATCTAATCACAACCTAGCAGTAGTCTAAGTGTAAAGCATTCATTGTGAAGTCTGAAAATTCTAGATTTTATCTAGAGTAAATTTGAAGTTGAACACTTCTAAAAAATCCCAAATGTAAATCAACTACTTAACCATTTTTTTTCTATCAGTCGATATCGGTTTATATCACAAACCAGTACCAAATTAATGATCAAAAAATAACAAAAATTCTAAACTACAGTATACTAAAGAGCACTGAAAACCACTTTGTTTGTACACAATACTTCGCAGAAAAGTGACGATGAACAGCACCATAGTAGATCAAACATGGAACTTTCAGAACACATTATGTGTACAATATCCTAAAGAGGAGTTATTCAGGATACGACGTTCTATACATTTTTAACATCATCCAAATCGTTTTATACAGTGTGAAAATCACCTAACACCATTGGCAATAAATATCTGACTCTCTTATTGGTTGAGCTCCATTAGTCATGAGTTCTAACCGAAATCTCATAAATTGGTTCATGGTTATTATTTATTTATAATTGCTTGTTCTCTATTTGCTCTATCAAAAAATAATTATCATTTGGGACAAACGTTAGTTTAGACGACGTCGAATATCAGATAACACATCATTGTACGATCAGAAAATAGAATCAAACAACAAACTCTTCTGCTAACAGCAAATTTTCTTAGTAGTGAAATGTAAAGGTTTGTACAAAAAATGACCTTTTATTTCGAAATCATGATAAGCGAAAGAAATCCAGAACTGCGGAACAGTTAGTCATATAAATATCTTGAACACATCTAAAAATTCTTTTCTACAAGATACAAACTTTATAGTCTCACACTAATTCTAGAAGATCAGTGTATTCTCATTGGTCTACATTCACCTACTCTAACTGATGTTTGACTAATCTCATCATTTTATTGAAGTTTGAATTGATTTAAAAACCATCACAGTAAAATCAAATAAAATATTTGAATATTGGTTTTAAAATACTTATACTTTGTTAAAATAAACATAAATAATGAAAGAAGAACAAAGATTTGTTGAACAATGAAAAAACCCGTATTATCTGAATGCAAAAAAAGTAGTTGGAATGAAAACACGAATTTAAAAGAATCACAATAACTAAATGATACCATTAAACAGTAGCCAAATATTTTATTCTTATTGATGAATATCAAGTGAATATTTCAACATAAATCAATTTGTTTTTGATTGTGTGATTTTGTTATTTTTCGTAATACTTCATCATTAAAGCTGCGCTTATGTTTGTGTGTGCCAGCGTGTTTGTACAAATCTGTATATATATGCAAATTGATAGCATAACTAATGCATGGTAACAATGACCCATATTTATATGCCTTCAAAGATTACAAGTATGATAGACTACTTATTTTTTTGAACAAAAAGCCATTATTTAGTCAACCGAAAAGATTGAAATTTTATTTGTAAGATCTCTATATATATATACTGATATATTTGTATTCGAAAATAGTGCGAGATGATTTCGATCACTGAACAAATTACACTAGCTGATGAATTATCAAAATGTAAAATGCTATAGAGAGGTGCTTTACCATTATTCAACATACATTTTTTCAGCTTTTACACAAACTACTTTACATGGGGTTATACCTGTAAATTAATTATCTCATGGTAATCACAAAGCTAATAACCACTATTATCATTATTGTAACTTAATGGCTAAGCACTAACGTGTTAACCTATGAGATCTGTAAAGGCTCGGTTCGTCATCTTCAGGCTCTTATGACAGTTCTCAAGTCCGAATGACACAGCTGTCTAATTTCTATCTGGCATTTTAAAAGTTTTCCTGAATTAAATTAGTATTGCATTGCGTACACAAATCTGTTCATAGAATATTTCATAGTAAATTAATCATACGAATACATTCCTTTTCTCAAATCTATCTCTTTCTCTCTTACACAACCAAAAAAAAGAAATTACTCAAAGCATCGACCGATTAGAAATTTAAAAACCATTGCTTCTAATTAGCCAGTGAAAATCCAGTTAAAATGACATTTTTACTAAAGAATTTTCTGTTCCTTTTTTAAGGAAAACTTGATAATCATAGAGTTAGGCAAATACTCAAGAAAAAATTGAATAATTTGATTTTTATCTGAAATTTCAAGTTTTTTGTCTGTCATTTTTCGACATTGCATCTAACCAGATGATCAATTTTATTAACTTGAATTAGACTGTCAGCTGGCATTATCAACATTATTTTGACAGGAGTCAGCAAACTAAACATTGTGTGACATTCTGTAAACTAATATTTCATATGAATCGTATAATGGCTAAATGATAGTTTTAGAAAGTGGATTGATTGGAGGATGGGTTTTATCAAACGATCATTACTTGAGGAAAAGACAAAAATCTGGATTATTTTGACTTGATGATTGAACAATTGGATGTTTAGTTATAGACGTTAGATGATTGTAAGAAACAATAACCTGTTCCATCTTTAAGAATAACTTTTTCTAAATGATTTCTAACAGTGGATTACAGGTTGAAATAGTTGATTTTCATCAATTAAACTGTAGATTACAATTCTATTCCACTTAAATCAATGCGGGCAACTGAGTAGAATAATTAAATTGCATCTGTAAAATGTGACACAAAATAGCAATTACACATGGATTGGCTGCTACTGATTGTGCAACATTTTGTTTAACTTGATAGTTCAATTTTTAACAAATATTTATGAAAACTTTTAAATTTAAATATATATTTGTTTGAATAAAAACAGTAATCTTTTAGAAACATGTTTTTCCTAATAATTTGCACATTTTCATAGCAGTCTTTACGCTTTAATCAACAATAATAGCCACTGTCATGTCTACTTCTTGATCGTATTTACGTGTTTTATGTTTGACAGTTTAAATTAGTGTTGTCTAAATCCTAAAGGGATGAAAATTTGACACTTACCCATACATACATACACACACACGAACACGTTGAAACACACACATACACTGATTGATATGTCATCATAGAGATTATATTGGTAAACGTGTCTTTGTCCCAGTATAATCTATTTACCAGTTATTTCATTTCGACTGTTCAATGACAATCTCAGTTGAATAACAACATCATGCAATTAAAATTGGATATTCCATTTAATTTATAGAGTTGGATTAGTGATTTCTAACTTCTGTCTTTAGTTGTAATATTGTTTGTATGTTTTGTGTAATTACATTATTCCCATCGTTAGATTTCTATGATTCAGTTGTTCATCGAACAAATTCAGTCTTAACCAGCATTTTACAAAAAATTTGTGCCTAGACTCAAGTGTAATGACGAAAAAAAGTGGTTTAAAAATACATATATTATGAAAAGTAATTCAGATGAGCATATTGTCTACTAATCCGTGTCCTTTCCATTTTCAATGAGATTATCATAATTGCACTTACCTAGGAAGAGTAAACTATGCAGTTAAAGTGAAAAGAATGCAAAGAATCCTTCATTTCACAAACACTTAACATAATTTCGATTATCAACTTAAACTTGTTCATCAATTTACTTTGAAATGCAAATATGTGATACAAAGATATAAAATATCAAGTTTATTAATAATAAAATACAATCATTTTTATCATGCTTCTTACAAAATGTTAAGAGAACACTACCGAATCCGCTTTCCTCAAACACATCTAAATGAGATTGACAGCTTCAAAGACTTACTATGTCAACTTTATTCGGTCATATGATTTAAAAACTGATGGTAACCATCCAAGTTTAAATAGTTTTCAGTTTTAAGGAAAGAAAAACAAGCCATAATTAGTTATCTTCTAGTTTTGCATACTTTTGTAGACAAAGTAAAAAGATGAAGAATATAGTGAAATATTTTATTTTCTCAATTAGTTTCTCATCATGGCAAATACGATCGCGTAATAAGTTTACATAATAATAATAATAATGAAATCTTTCAAATACCCATGACAATAATGTGAAGAGATTAAGAGTAGGACAAGATTAATCTATGAATCAAAATAATTATTGATAAGTAAATTGAAAGAAAAAATATAGTTGTAATGATTGAAAGATTACAATAATGTCTATTAAGAGAATTTTTTGGACATTTTTAATAACAAAGTCATATAATAATAGTAATAATTGTGTAAGAATATAAAAAGTAAAAGAAATTAAGCGTGAGTTGCTTTACACACACTGTTTGTGAATATGAACTTTCATATCTTCGGCAGTTTGCATA